CCGCTACTGCGTTCACATGTTCACTGTGGGGTGGAAGAGGTTTATGGGGAAATGGAACAGAATTTGAAACGAGAAGGGCTGAACCGCCCTGTCCGTCGTTTCTATCATCCCGGAAACACACAAAGCCCGGGAACCGAACCCTCTCGCCCGGCTTGCGTCGCATTTCCTGAATGGCAAAAACGACAGGAGAATATTTGTTCAGAAGGTGAAGAATTTCATTTTCTTTATTTCTGCTACTGCGACAATTCCATTGAAGGATTGGAGCCATTATTATTAATGACAGATATAAGGTTGAGAAGCTGAGACAGTTGGTCTTGAATGTTGTTCGGTAAGCCGACATCACTGAAACGGCCGAGAAAATTTATAATGGTGGATATAAGAAGTGACATGAGGTTATCATTAGGGACGGAATTGTTGGAATAAGCACAACCATTGGGCAGCTGGGAGGTTGGAATCTCCACAATGCTTCTATGGAGGTGTTGATTGTAACCTGAAGGTAGGAAGGGGGCGTGGTCTGGATTGGGTGATAGTTTTACGATACGATGTAGACTGGGACTGAGACAGTAGTGGGGGGGGGGGAGGACGACGGGGAGGAGGGGTTGTGTTGAGACCATTATCATTACGAGCAGTGTCAGCAAATGATCTTCTGACAGGAGAAAATCTAGCGGAGGCTTCAGAGTAGGACACATTTTCCTGCGACATAACAATTTTAATTTGCCTCTGCCTAGACTGTTCAGGGCAGGATGAGTCAGTCGCCCTATGCTGGCCAGAGCAGAATAAGCATGTGGGTGTATCCTTGTTACAGGTTATACTCTCATGCGGTTGGGCACAGATGGAGCAGCGGGTCTGGGACCTACATTGGGACTATATATGTCCAAATCGGCAACATTTGTTGCACTGTATAGTGGGAAGTACATAAGTCTCAACTGGAAGAGAGGTGTAAAAACAATATACATGTGAAGGTAGTTTTTGTCCAGTAAATGTTCAAACGATTGACTGAGTGGGGATCCACTCCGGGGTATTATTAGAGAATATTTTCCTACAGAGCCTGCGGGCTTTAACTATTTGCCCAAATCCTGGTGGAATCTCTAGGGAGTCCACTAGTTCTTCCAAGGTCCATTCCACTGGCACTTGCCTTATTACACCCATTGTAGTGATACTGTAGCTGGGAATAATTGCTTCATAACCAGCATTAGCAAGGGCAGCATGGTCAATAAAAGCATTTGCGTCCGTAAATGTCTTAAATTCTACTGACATCCTGTTTCTACCTACCCGCTTAACGCCATCTTTAACTACATTTTTAATTTTATTTTGAAACAGGAAATGTCCTAGTTTGAGGGGTCGTAAGACAGCACCAGACGAAGGGTCTGAAGCTTTTTTGCCCACATGGACCAAGAATGGAGCACAATCCTCCTCAGAATACTTAATTTTATTGTTAGAAAAACGTAGGTTAATGAATGTAGACTGAGCTGACGCACCTTGCGAAACGTTCGATTTTTTAGGAGGTTGTGAAGCAACCTGATCTGTAAGTGCACGTTTTTTGCACATTGTGATGGCGATGCTTGTGGCTCTTCCTGGCCACCTCTAGCTGCCATGTATTCTCCTGTGTGGCTCGGTGCTAGCGACTCCCGTCTGCTTGAAGCTTGGGACACCCGCCCGCCACGTCCCCTTCGGGATGTGCTGACTTTGGAAGCAACCGAGTAAACGGATTCCATGTCAGAGTCATCATCTGATTCAGAGGTCAACGGTTTCGAACGCTTGCGATTTGGTTCGACCGCCCCCGTCTCCTTTCGAATTGTGGTCATCACCGGGACATTAGAACCGGTAGCTACTACGGAAACCACACTGTCGTCGGTCTCTGTCTCACCCGTATGGACTTTCATTACATTGCGCTCGATCCACTCTTTAGCGCGTTCCTGGAATTTGTCATCATCGGATAGCGAAAAGAATTCAGGGAGCTCATCGTCCCGGTCCCGCTTTCCCTTCTCCTCTCGGCCTTTGACTTTCCGAGCCGTATTCGCCTTAGCCTTTGGAGCCGCTGGAGGAATACCCCCACTGTCATCATCACCACCTCCGTACAGGCGTAGAACGCCATCTCCCACTAACGCCTCGGTAGCAAATTTCACACCAGGGGTACCGGTATCCCCCTGGCGCCGATGGCCAACCGGAGCGCATAAGCCGCTAGTGGTCCATTTCACACTCTGAGGCCCAGCTACCTCAGAGCGCCCGGTGTCAGCGGGATCACATGACAGAACAAAATCGCTGTCAGACATTATCATACGAAGTCCCCTCTTCCGGGCGAGGGGGGCCCTACCTGGCCTCATCAAAATTTGATTTTTTTAAAAGGTTTTTTCCTATCGACCCCCACCCCGAAAGGTGGCAGCCCCCGTTCCTGCACCACGTGAGGGGTTACGGGTCGGCCGGAGATGACGCGGAGTTCGCGCCACAACCGCCCTCAATAGAACAGGCGTTACCGCCCCTCCAACAGTCTCGACTACCGCTACCCAGGCTCCCCGGGACGCCAGCCGAGACTCACCAAGGTAATTTTTTAGAGAGGTTTTCTTCCTCGCAGCCCCCACCCTCCGAAGAAGGCGGCGGCCCTCGGCCCCGCACTGCGTACAGGGTTACGAGCTCCTCCAGACAGCGCACTGCCCTCCGACACCGGGGCCACTCAATGCCCCCCACCCAGGGTGATTTTTTAGAGAGGTTTTCTTCCTCGCGGCCCCCACCCTCCGACGGGGTTACGAGATTGTCGGCTATTCGACACCTCCGTAACAGCACCCGCAGTGGGAGACATTACGCAGATGCCCGGGATGCACCGTCCCGAACCCATTTCCGTTCCCCTATCATAACAGACCAGGGACAGGAAATGGACCGGGCATACGAGGAAGTTTCCGACGTAGCACCCCTATAAGTTCCAAGCCTACATTAACGAATGAACTGTAGACCGTCGAAGCGTCGATTGAACGTAGACCGTCTATTTAAACGTGGTCCTTTCTGACCGAACCGAAGATTTATTTATCAACCGTTCAGACCATATTGTGTGTGTGCGGTGTGTCTACTCGCTATAAAAAACCCCTGCTATTAGTTGTTAGATTTTGCACTCTTTCCAATATTTTGGGGGAAAAGTTTATACTTCGGGAATATGAGCGGAAATTTATATAATTACTTTTAATAATTGCTTAAGTACCTGAAAGTTTCTTTAGGTCAGTGAATGTTTCCAATATAATTATCTTTATTATTTATAAAATAATGTACTATGAAAGGTTATATATTTATAATAATGTGCTATGAAAGATGATGACATATATTTTTTAACAAAAAAGTGTTCCATTAACATTTTTTTATGTTTCAATGACCGTAAATAACTACAAAAAACTTTCTATCGCCGAACATCAAAGTTTTGTTAAGAAAACAGAAGAAGGATGTTTCAGACTTGGCTGTGTTAGCCGGATTTCTTTGCCTTCTATTAAACAATAATATAATACTGGGAAATCTAAGAAACTATATCTGGCAGTCCTGTCGCCTTCAGGTTACCTGATTTGATATCACCATCCATCCGGGAACCCGACGGGAAAACCTGATATATGCCTCCTTAACTGCAACGGAGAATATTTCGAAAAGCTTTAGAAATAAATTTAGATATTGGCCGGTACAACGTCAACGTGTATTTTTTTCTATTCCTGATTATTTCGGTATGACCCCCGTAATTTATGGAACTACATTCAATACAAAATTAATAATTAATTTACATAGGTATCACCGCAAATCAAATGAAAAATTCCGCTTAAAAGGCCACTGGTTATATATTAAAGCGTAGTACGGAACGTTAACGTATCTATTTGGCTGCGATAGTGATTATAGAGATGTGACAAACGTGATAACTTGAACATGAATGTGAAAAATATCCGATTAGTAAATTATATTTAAGTAACGTAATTTTACTTATCAATATTTTTTTCACATTAACTAAATTTAACTTCAGTCTCCTTTTTATTCTGTATAGAGCGTGACAAGGATACACAGTTGTCAAAATTAGTTTTGACTTTAGAAAAACATGCCAGAATGGACACCAATATTTAATATTTTATCTGTTATATCATAATACTTATTCATTAGATAAGACACATAAGACTTGACCAGTTGAAATGAAAATGATATCTTTCTTTTAATATAATTATATGCAGATATGTTTTGACGTGATAGATAACGTTTTATAAATCAATGAACACCGGCTGCACGCATGAAAAAGTGTGACGTCATGTCACAAGTCACATTATGTAACCAACCTCACCCCCGTGGGTGAATTAAACACAGACTTACAATTTTAATCTAAATCTGTGGAATTGAATAAAAAAAATGCGTGGTTTTATGAAACTAACACTGGTGTCGATTCTAGCGTGAGTCTCTAAACTTAAAACTAAATTTAACATCAGTCTCTCCTTTTCATTCTGTATAAAGAATGACAGGGATGCACTGTTGTCAAATTTAAGTTTAGCTTTAGAGAATCATGCCAGAATCGACATCATTGCCTCATTTTTTTCTATTTTATCAAAAGTGGAAGGTATACTTTCTACTACTGAACCACCGGTGCTTGTTGAGATGATATGCATTTTCAATAATAAATAAAAATGTAATGCAACATCTTAAAGATGTTTAAAAACATATGAGGCGATTTTTTCGAAATTGCGAGATGTTTTACTTTAAAAAAGCAATACAAAATGATTTAAAAAGATTTAATTGTATTGACTTGCTAGTGGGTTGGAAGGTCATCTCTGAAAGCAAGCATGTCCATGAAACATTAAAGAAATATTTTTTTTTATTTTGATTTTATTATATTAATATTATGTATTTAATACCACCTTCATCGATTCAAACAATAAATATATATTCCATAGACAAAATATAGACTGACGTAAAGCACATCTCTAAAACAATGACATCATGTCTTTTCAAAGATTAAAGCAGAGCCTTGGCAGAATGGTTACTTTTCCATTGCAGTTGTTTTGTACCTAACCGTGTGGTACCGAAGCTTTATATATTTTTTTTGCATAATTTTACATTTATATTCAGAACACAAAAATGAAATTATAGAGACCATCAAATATTTTGAGTATATAAAAATGGCTATTCGAGTATTCGATTAGCAAATTAAAACAGCAGTTTATGTTATCCCTATTATGCTGTTTAAGGAATGAAAAAGAGAGACTGCTGTCAAATTTCCTAATAGCAAATTCAAATAGCCCTGTCATGTATGGTGCCTGTAAGATTTTTCAACTTACCATACTTACCATATTCATACTATGTTAACTAGTTAATATTACACATTCTGAAATATGAACAAGTTGAATTATGCTAGAAAAAAATATTTCGGTCTATAAAACCACAAGTTATTTGCTAAATTATATAAACTTAATTGATGATTTATCTGTAGTGTTAAAGACTTGAATATCTGTTTCGATCTTTAATCTATGACTTTTTCAATTCAAAAAGGTGGGTGAAGCCGTGATGCTTTCGCGACGATCTTTCGCCTCGCCTTGGAAGCCGTGTTCGTACTCAGAGTCACGGATTTAGCGCTATACATCTATGATTTGTGAACTTGTGACTATTCATAATATATTTGCGTGTGAAGGACTAAAAAAATACGAGAGATTGTGTTTGTGTCGTGAAACGTGAAATTTGGTTGGGGACCAACGATCGCTCATCATAGTTCCCGCAAACGAGTGTAATTTGTGTGCCGACGAATTTATATGTGTAACCAAACCGGAATAGAAGTAAGGAAGACAGCGAGCGCAGTATAAGGTATATTTTAAAAATTTACAGAATACTATCAAAAATACTAATTGGATTCACGCCGACTAATCTTGTTAGAAGTCTTCTAATAACTTATAGGCAAAGGCCCGATTGACCTGGCGTTTTTTTGGGCTACATAAATAAGTATAGCTGTATGTGCTTTTCTTGACTAGATGATTTTATAAAACTTATCTCTCCCAACCATCATTGTACAACTTATAAATGAAACGATTCTGGCTTACTCACTTACCTAAAAAAAATATCGGTTCATGTATTCTCATAAAGATCTAACTGTCATGTATTAAAAAATCATTTGAATCCAAAATAAATTTTTATTGCTTCCTCTTGAAATAAGTACCTACTCATTAAAAATTATAAAGTGTATATCATAAACTATTGTTGTTCAATCACAGCTATTTGAATGAGTTTGACCTTCATAAAAATGGTGCCTATTAACTATTCTCTCATCTATCTATATACAATAACTAAGAGTGTGCTTATATTTTCAGTTATACTCATTTTATGTATTGCTAATTTTAATTGCTCCCAAACTTTTTTTAAAATTAATGTAACAGATGATCAACTATAAAACAAAATAAAAATCTATACCAGTATGGAAATTCCTCATAAGTTGCTGTTACTGCAATACAGCTAAAAGAGAATATTCAATGAGATCTATCTTGCACTTGCACTCTGCTTGTGCGTCTCATCAAGGCTACAGACCTCTATGAACCATGCAATATGCCTCGAGCCTTGTTCTCTTAGCTGCACTGAAGAGCACAGGTCACTGCAGAGATTCACTATATATTATGTCGGAATTAGTTTTAAAATTTTCTACAAACACATTGACTTTTCAACCATTTAATTTTGTTTTAAGTGTACTTGCTATATTCTTTTGCATATATTTTTAGCAGTGTCTTAGTTAAAATGTTTTTATTTCTGTAGCGTAGCTTTTCTATTAAGTTGCAAAAAACAGAATTGGAAAAACATTGAGATTTACCCTATGAACACTATCAATGGATATACATGGTCAATATTATATGTAATATTTGTTTAGCTTCTAGTGACTATTTGCAACAATATTAAATACCACAAGCACTCAAAATGTGTCCCAGTCAAGAAGTGCATGAACTCTACTCAAGCACTTCTATATCCCAACCCAGAGTTTTTAATTGTAAAAGGTGGTCCAAGTTGAGTATAGTTTTGATTCTGAGAAACTATTGCATCACCTATACGAAAGCTGTCTATACCCTAATTCAAGCTCAATCATGGAATCTCTATAGTCAGTATCTTTTGAAAGGTTCTAAATTAGTTAAATTCAGGAATTATTGAGTAAATTTTTGCCAAATGTAGGAAAAGCAAGTCTCGTGTTTAATGAGTACAAACTGTAGTTTTATATATCCACTATATGACTTCGAAAAGTCATTTGACTGTTGCCCTGAATGTTAAACACAAAAAACCGTTTTATACTGCCATTTAGCTTGAATTATAGAGTAAATGCCTTAAATTTGGACTCTACCAAGATGATTTTGCAGTTTGCGTCAAATAGTGTTTCAAATTTAAATCTCATTGTTTGATAAAATTTTCTTAATGTTAATTATTTCTATACATGTATTCGAAACACAATCTGGAGCCCACTACTTGTCATTTTGTCATATAAAAAAGAGGTTTTATGTGGTGAAGACAAAAATGTTTTAAAGCAATATGGATATGTTGAAATTAAATTAAAAAAGTACTGGGGCGCCAGACCTACTCCAATAGACTCACTGGAAGGGAGTTGAACTATTAATCGGAAGGGGTTTGAAGCAAAATCGGTTGTATATTTATTGAAATTTCTAACTATTTGCCAGTGATTTTTCTTGAATTTAGAAGCTAGGTCCAATTATCATCTTATATTTATAATCTTTATCTGAATTTTACATAATGGAATAATTTTCGCTTACCGGAGAAACCCCTTGTTATAATATATTTACATGTGCTTACTGTCCATGCTGCATCTTTGTTATGTGGCGAGTTGAATGTATGTATGGAAACCTCTCTCCCATGTAATAATGACAAAGGGTTATTTAGAAATTTTTATATGTGGTCCAATATAAAATTTTCTAAAGTATAAAATATAAGGTGTTTTTAAAATAAATTAAAACAAAATTCAGTCTCTATAAAAAATTTATTATAAACTTAAGTCTATCCAATATTAAATAAGATAAAGTGAACATCATTGCGCCACTCAAAAATTATGTTGTGAAGTGAATTAAAAATTTTCTTCCTTCTGTACCTTCCAAAAGGCAAGCAAAGAAATCAGTTTAGATAAAGTCTTGTTAAGCCACAGAAAATTAAAAAAAACGCACGGACTAGCAAAAACGATCTATGATAAAGGAGAACAATAGACAACCTAAACAGAGGCCTTTTATCTCTCTCTTCAAACAAACAAAACTGATATGACGTTTTTAACATGTCAAATTTTAAAGTACAGACAAATAGGATTTTTTATGCATTCTGCAAGAACTTTTCTTTATGATTTAGTACATATTCTCCACATATTATGTATCAAAAATGATTTGTGTTGCCTAAACAACTTCTGCTTGAACCATTAATTTTGCAAAAACTTATGAAATTCATATGTACCCATTGACACACCCATGTTATTATTAAATAAAAATGCACATAATATGATGAAAGTAAAAAAAAAAGATATTTGGGCTGCACAGATTTTTTTCGAGAATATATTTGAAAAAATCATCATAAGTAAACAACATTCACAGCAACAGACAAAAACTTAAATTTGTAAACTAGTGTTATACCTATATCAGTGTAGGTATGAAAATTATGGTGGGTGACAACATTTATGCCATAGTCAAAAGCCAGCTTTATTTGTGCTGCTCAGTATAAATTTATATGACTTGTTAAATAGAATTTTAGGAGATATTTTGATATTATTGGATATTAGATAGAATGTCTGATAATATGTTCTTCAAAAAAATGGGATTGTTTGCTTAAAAATATTTCGAATGAAAATTGTATTTTTTAAGTTTGTATGCAGCTAAAAACAAAGCTTTATTGGGCTTAGTTTTAGTTCAGGTATACCAGACTACAGATAAGGTTAAAGCAAACATGATAAGAGTTCCAAATGGTTTTTTGGTTTGTTCAAGATTGTCTGTTTTCACTGGGCTAATAATTTTAAACCTAATGGCTTTCACTGCCTCAGGAGAAAAATAGTAAACTTACATAAAAGTGAAGAATATATTTTTCCCTTAAATAATGTAGATTACAGTTAGTTTTCAGAGGCCCTTTAATAACTAATATATGTTGTAGAAGATCAGGCTTCTTCAACATCAAAAGCGTCTAAAATGGTAAGGTAATCAAATTTGCCAATATCAATACAGAATAACCAAAAAAAATGGATGAATAACAAATGGCAAAAAGAAATGTTTAATTAAAAAAAAAGGTCAAGTGAGAGTTAAACTCATGTGGAGCCTTCAGTCTATTCGCAGTCATGAACATTGTATAGGTTTTCTAGTTATTTACGAGCCAAGAGCTACATTCTATATATTTTTAAATGTTTTAGATGCATTACTTTCAGAGATAAGTGAGGGACAGGGTTATGTCTTTCTTAAATAATGTTTAAACTATATGTTTCTTAGGTTTTTACGCACATCACTGCTTATTTTACATAAAAAAAGTTTGAAACCTTCACATTAAACCCGTCATTCTTTCATTTGATGTACTGGTTGTTTTACAATTATAGAGGAGGCGATCAAAGCATAAAGTTTTTTTTTTATTGAACAATAATACGTCATATTTAAGTACCTTTTTTCAACGATATTAAATACCCTAGATACACCACGTGCGCTTAAAATGTGTCCTTATCAAGAAGTGCTTGAACACGGCTCGAGCACTTCTTGGTTCACAGTCACGCGCGGACCGTTGAAATGTCAACATGCAGATGAGCTCCGTGAAAAAAATGCGAAATAAATATTATAAGATAGTGAAATGTCGTTTTTTCAACAGGTATCTAATCAATGTTTGTTAATTTAATACTTACTATAAACTGATTTAATAGAAAATATTTGTGATATTCAAATGCATGGCTGGTAATATAGCCGTCTCTTTTCCTCGCGGTCCATACCTGCTATATTGTTAACAGCGCATTCAGAGTCAAAGAAATAAGGTCTATATTCTTCCGCATATAGCAAAAAGTTGTAAAATTTTACGAGCTTACATTTCGGACTGTTGTAGCTCTTTGACGCGTGCGTTTTAATTAAGACCTTATACAGTGTGTTTTAAAGGTGATTTTCAATGTTTAAATTAATAATGCCTTATATTGTTTAGACTACGCGATCATCTTACGGAGCTCCGTGGATCGTCCAATGTACCTTTTGGACAGGTTTGGGGCATGATTTTATTCGTGTTGGTGTATCTAGTGTATTTAATATCGTTGCCTTTTTTACACAAGGGAAATCACTCAATTCATATTTATATACTTTATAGATGGCCAGGATAGATACATCGGATAGGGGAGAGACTACTTTTCTTTTGATATAAAACTAGAGCTTCTTGCTTAAAATCTGCTCAATGGACCTCTTTTAAGTGATGATGGAGAGTGATCGACATAGAAGTTAAATTTAGGATGTTCGAGATGGGAACTATCGGTCAGACTTGGGCAAACCAGACACGAGAAAAAAAATCGAATCATCACACACAAATTAACTGTCCGCAAAACCTGTATTTAGGATTTGATCCAACAATAATTTAAATAAATATTGTCAAGAAAAGGTCAGCAAAGGCTGTATGTACTACATTGATCCTATTCTAAATTTATATAATCTTAAGTAATAAAGTGAGACTCATCTACCGTAGAAGCCTAGGGGGTAACAAGGTTTCTGAGGCGCTACAAGGTCGGCGTTAAAAAGAGGCGGGGGTGTTAGGGTGTCCCCAGTCTCAGCACTAATCTCCCCGAAAAAGTTTATCAACCTTTTAGTATTTGCAGTGGTTTTTATCCATAATTAGGC